CTTTCCTTTTTGATAAATCATATAGTTAAGTCTTAGGTTTCCTGAATTATTCTTCATTTCTGCTGCTATAGACTTAGACTGCTGGAGCACAAACTGAGCACTAGTCTCTCTTCTCTACATGTTTATTGTTATTATTTCTATCATATTTTTTTCTTTGTCTCTTCCAGAAGAAGATGCACCTAGACCAGTCCTGGACCAGTTCTTCTGTGTTTGTCTGTGTCTCTTTCCTGTCCCCCAACCAGCCAGTCGAGGCAGATGGCCTCCTGTCCTGAGCCTGGTTCTGCTGGAGGTTTCTTCCTGATTAGCAGGGAGTTTTTCCTCTCCACTGWTTGCTCACGATGGGAGACTGTGATGAAGTGATTCAACACAGCCTGCTGGTTTCTTCTTTACATTATTCTTTTTATGTACAGTGCCCTGAGACAACATATGTTGTGACTTGGCACTATATAAATAAATAAACTTGAAACTTGAACTTGAACAATGAGGTTAAGAATAAAGGATTTTTTAAATCTTCTAGAAAACACAGTTTTATTAATCTAGAACTTTTTAGTGTCGGCATGACTCAAAGGGAAACCGTGATCCTCACCAATGAGGTCCCTGGCCATTTCTTGATCCTCCTGTATCCGGCAGACRTCAGAAAGCTGCAGCAGAGAATCGATGTGGTATGGGTTGAGCTGAAGCAGGGCCTGCAGATATAGAGAAGATAATAATCAGTTTAACAGAGCTGGATGAAAATATACAGATTGTTTTTGGTAAATCGAGCTGTAAGGAGCAGATTGTGAGTAAACATGTATGTTAAACATGTATGTTAAACATGTATGTATAAGTCCATATAACGACTAAGACAGCTGGAATGGGGGGGGGGGGGCGACTCCCCTAACCACTTCACCACAGCCGCCACACAAAATATGATCAACATTATTTTCAGCAAAACCTGCTTTCTTATGTTACATAAAGACTTACACAATAAGACAGTTGGAGTGTGTTATTTATTTTAATAAAGACTGATCAAAGTTTAATAAAGAAATCAAAGACAAGGAGAAGAATCAGGGCTTTTGTGGCCTGTGTTTTCATGACACGCAGTCCCTTTTCTGAGAATAAAATACAGAGTCCAGACAGGACACACAGGAAAACTTACAACAATATTGTTCGGATCCATGGACTCAACTGCATCCAGGAACTTGAACTGTACTTGTTGGTAGTCCCGACCGTGTTCGAAGGTGAAGTACTGAAGGCCATTCTTTGACTCCAGTAAGGTCATTGAAATTCCTGAGGAGCCATTTTTCACAATTAAAATAAAAACATCACTCATACACGAATACAGTTAAAAATCTGCATATGGTTCGTTCTTTGGTTTCATTATTTCAAAATAAAATCACAAAAAGAAAACAACAAAGTGTTTTTTGGTTTTTCCATTTTCAAAACCTAAATGTAAAAATGTAAAACTGAACTAATAAAAAAATCCACAGTGTTTGATTTTTACTTCGCTCAGCTAAATCCATAATAAAATATACGATTGTTGTTTTGAAATGTAGCGATATTGGAGATGATGGAAGTTGTCAAAGAATGAGTTTATAGTGGCTGGAAGATGGCAGCGGCTGCACTCGAACTCTATTTTGCATAACTTGATATATTAAAATAATTTTGTTCACGGCAATTTCGACTTCCCCTAAATAAGACTTTTGTCCAGATCTAAAGTGCTCAGTGAAAACTTAACACCCCAGGAGTTCAGGCCATGAGGATTTCTGGTTCAGTAAATAATGCTAATAAATGGGTGTTCTGAACTGTAATTTCATTGTGCTCTGTACAACGACAATAAAGCTTTATTCAATTCAATTCAAGTAATTTTTTAAGTAGAACCTTTTTTTTTTTTTTTACAATTCAGCTATTTTTAAATGTAGTTTTAAAAATAAAAAACATAGAAAAACCACATTCTGTTTTTTTAAGAAAAAAAATACAAGGAATGAACCATGCACGGATTGTTAAATCTATGTTTTTGTCATTACAGACATTTTAGRCTTAAATGATCAAAAAAATATACTCAGTCCTCAGAAATGTGATTTATACAAGTAAAACTTATTGGTTATAAAACAGTTATTTCCAGCACAGCTGTGACAACTCATGATCTTGTTTTTGTTAACACATTATTATAAAAGACATTATTATTTCACTGAAGCTGTTGGATTATCTCACACTGCCTCTAAATCTGAAAAAAAAAAAAATGCTACTTAAGTAGTTTAAAGCTCTCATTATTGACAAATTAACAGTTTGACTGTGCGTAAAAATCAGAAAAAAACTTTACACTCAGTACAATTAGAATATGTAAGGAGTTCTTAATTTATATCAGTTCTGATATGAAAGATTAGACACATCAATAGATAACACAAATTGCTGTGAAACTTAAAAGGGTAAAGATCGTGATTGTAATCTGCTCACTCAAAAAAATAAAAACAGGATGAACAATTAAAATAATTCGATAATCTAATAAAGCTCACCTGGACGGCTGAAACGAGGCCAAGTGTCCTTCGGACTGGTCATCCAGGTACTGCGGTGAAAATGTCTGTTTCTTTGTCGAGGTCTGGTGTAATAAGGAAAGAATCACGAATTTGTTTTGATTAACATATACAAAAAATAGTATAAATAAATAAATAAAAACACTTTTTTAATATACCTCTGATCTCCTAAAACAGCTCGAGCACCGAAGAATCTCTTCAGCTCAGTCTCTGGGTTTAAATTTCTAATAAAAGAGCATAAAAATTCACATTAAAATACTAATACGTAACAAAAACAATGTGGACTGCGTGAAAAAAGGCAGTTTGATGAATTATTGATAACGTATGTAAAACAATGTTAATAACAAAATAGTCTCAAGGTTGCACTTACAATAGATAAATATTGACTGTGAGAGTAGAAATAATATTTTAGCCTATTTTGAGCAAAGTAAAATTTTTACAGAATTCCATGTTGTAATGTTTCTCATTTAAAAAACTGATTAAAAATCTGTCTTGTTAAATATTCTTAATAGAAACATTCATTTTTATTAAGGTGAAATGTTTCTGACTTAAAGGTTTCTACTAAATCACATAAAGACTCCACAGACTTTACATTCTGTATGACGGCTTGGAAGAGGTGGTGTTACTGGTACGTTAATAAAAACAGATGCTTAACTATCAACAAATGTTTTAGCTTTAAAAGTCACTGAAACATCCTGCTCTGAAATTACAGTTTGTGAAACAATCAGAACATGTTAATGCCGACATTGTTTAATTTCTTTTCAAAATTGAAAGCAATGATCCACTGCAGTTCATCACTAGTTATTACGAGACCACTTTCATTTGTTTTTACCATGAGAGATAAGCACCACCATGTGGCAGCTTTAAGGATTCAGACTCACAAATGATGTTGGGAAACAAACATCAAATACAAACATAATATCATTACAAAGACTCAGTCTTGTTAAGAGTATGCAACACATTTTAAGTAGTATGCACAAACAGCAGAGGGTTATGTTGAGATCAATGCCTCTGGTGCCATTTAACCTTCAAGTCATTTACTGTATTTTTGTCTGAATAAAAAATGAGTATGCCCACCTGTGCTCCACATTTAGAACAGATTTTCTGTTACAGCCTCCACAATCCTCACTTTGTAGACTCAGACCATTGGACTGCTCCAGGTTCTCCAGCAATAAATCAATATTTTCTGGTTCTTCTCCCTGATAACAGTTTAAAAAAAACACAGAAAAACACTATAAAATTTAACTTTCATTTAGTTGCCAAGAAAAACAAAGATTTTCTATAATATTGTACCAACTCGCTGAATAATTTCTGCAAGACAGTGTGGTTAGTAATAAAATCATTTTATTGTCTAAAAAGAGCTTAACTCATTTTTACTATGTAGTGTAAGATCCAGTAAAATGCTGCACTTGTCATGTCACATGAGATATAGTCAATAAATTTACTTGTCCATCTTGTGACGTTGCTTTTGTTTTCTTCTTTTTCTTCTTCTTTTTTACTCTGTCTCCAGACTGTTAGACAAAACAGRCATGAGGAGGAAAAAATGCACATTTAGATCTGAAATTTTTAGTTAATCTGTAAGATTTTACACAAACTATGTTTGTTTCAGTTTTACCTTAGAGGCAATTTCCTCAGGGTTTTGATCTAGTTTCTCATGATCTCTATTATTATTCTTTCTTGTGTCACTTGCTTTATTGTTCTCTGGTTTCTCAGCCTCTTCATCAGGTGAAATTTTCTCCGCTTCGTTGTCWGCGTCACAGATCTATAAAAAACAGGAAAAGACAGTGTCTGGTGTAAAATGTGCCTCAGTTAAAACAAACAACACAAACACAAAAAATACTAATAAAAACGTTCAGTTCTGGCTTTTAGCATCAAGTCTACTAAGCTCACGTCTACAACACAAAGTCCCATTCTGTTTAGAGACAACATTGGTGTATTTGATGATGAAAAGAGACTAAAATTTTTTTATGAGGACTAGTATAAAAATGTTGTAACTTAAAATATCTTAATGTTCAAAGCTGTAAAAGAAGCTGTTGTCACTGTTGTCCAACATGTCTAAAGCCAGTCAATTTTCAGTCTTGATGACTCTTTTCCAAATCATTAAAAACTTAAGAATAACTAAATATTCTAAATTTCTTTTAGAAAGTTAAAAAGCTTTTCCATTTCCAAAAAGTAACAATTTCAGTTAAAACATTCCTACATTTAATAACAATGTATGGACTCTTTTGAACAGATTGAAGAGTTCCTAGAATTATCTAGACTGAAAATAAGACGTTTTTAAGTACTAAGTTTAAGAAACATTTATCTATGTGAAGTAAGCTAACATCTACAGTTAGCCTGTTAGCAAAGAAGCTGTGGAGCTAAATGTAAACAATTGATAGCAAAAGCCACAAGCAATGCAGCAGTGTCAGTTGGTGAGTTTTATTTGTCACTTTACCAGCTCATAGATGTTACTGATGTTTTTCTGAGCCTTGTTTTTCTTTGCCTTTCTGCCTTTGCTGTTAGCAGGAGAAGAAGCACTCGCCGAGTCCAGCTGCTCTTCCTCGGTCTCGGCTCCTTCAGCCTGCTCCTCCGGGCTCTCACCCAGATCCCCGAGGTCCAAGGCCTCCTGACCCCGCTGCTTTCCTCGGAGCCTCCGCAGAGCCCGGGTGGACATTCTTCAATATTTAGAAGTCACGTACAATTCAGTTTGTTTGTTTTATCAATGCATTTATTTTCTTGACAGCTGACAGACAACACACCAATGAGGTAAAGATAAATTTCACGTCTTCTTCTTCTTCTTCTGATAAATATTCACTACATCTAAACGTCACACCGCCCTCTAGAGGATAGATTAAAAACAACGCTCGCTATCTGCTTTTTATTATTTTAAAAGTGCTCAAATTGGCTAAATAACTATTTTAATCTATTATATATATATATATTTTAAATTAAATAAAAACCAAACAATAAATAAATATTATAGATAACTAATAGCAAAACATGATAACGCCTCAGCAAAAATTGGCCAAAAGTAGTCAGGATCAAGTAAAAATACAAAAACAAAGTATATCCTTTTAGCTTTTGATAATATTTGAAAAGAAGTTCATAGTTTTCACTTCATTGCATGATAAAAAAACACGTTGCATTATATTTGAAAATTGTAAGCCAGTCTGTTTATAAATTCAGTTTGATTTTAACAAGTTTTAAATAGAGATTATTATAAGTTTATTTTATTTTTTACTGTTCATCAAAACGTCTTCTTAAATTTGTATTTTGATGATAGAAACGATGGCCTAAAATTATAACTCCTGTTGTGTAAGAAGAATATTATATTTGCAAATAAAATAGGTGATGCTTGTTTTAAACATGTCAAGATGCAACCAGGAGGGGTTGCAGTAAAGACAAAATTAGGACAAAAAAATTTATACTGTTCTCAGTTTTGCACAAGATCAAACAAAACTATATATTTTTTACTTTCAGTATGATTTTCAACAAAACTACAAACATTTGAATAAGCTACTAAAATTGAGAATAAACTTTAAGTCTAAAATCTCTTATAAATCTCCTGTTATCACACATTTTTTGCAGCCAAAAGATATTAACAGACTTGGTTTGATATTAAAACACATTTAATAAAACTGAAATTATGTGAGTGTAAGAAACTACGTGAGTGTAAGAACTTTTGATGTATAAAAAATAGTTTGTTTCACCAAATCTTTAAAACAAATTCTCCCCTACAACTAATGTTCATGTCATTAAAACTGCCCCAAGCTCAGTTGTAAAAATAAACAGAATTTAAAAATGCAAGTTTATGAATCAGACTGCATAAAATACTAACATGCTACTATACTTGCGAATAATGGTGTCATTTTTGTGTTGTTTCTCACACAACCCCAGGTAAAAAAAAATAAGGAAGTATCTGGGGTTTCTTAACAGATTTTAGCTGCTTGACAAATCATCTGTGACTGCCAAAAAAGAGAAGAAAGATACAGTTCAAGACTCAAGTTAAGAAATGGCACAGACGTGCAGAACTTGTCTGACAAGCCGACATACTGTATAAATACATTTGTTTTCCTTCACAAGAAACTAAAAGGCAACAAGATGTGGTGAAAGAACTGAACTGAGATGAGAAAGGGAAATTCAGAGTTAATGAAATACAGTGTTTGCCCAAGGAAGGGAAGTTGCAAAAGTCAGTTCTTTAAATATTTTTTTTAAAAGAAAATAAACAGGAACTTATAAATATTCAATGAAAGCAAAGGATTTATTTACAACACTTTAAAAGCATGAACAGAGAAACATATTATAATAGCAGCTGGATACAGTCTGTTATTCCTATTTTTCCCAGTTAAAATCAGTCCTAATAAATGGAATAACTTCAATTCAAGGCATTCAAGAAAAGCACAAACACAAAAGCTTTAAAGGAGGGACTACATAACTTATCATCTTGTAAAAATCTAACATAAACTTAAATGACAGGAAGGAAAGCAGCCTCATCAGAGTGAGCACCAACACACCACCTGTGCTGCAAACTGATAGTATTTGTTCAGCCTGTATGGCACTTTCTCTTCTTTCAAATGTAAAAAAAAAACAAACATTCACTTCATTTCCTTCTTGTAACTTGAGGTAAAAAGGAGCACACTCAACATTTTGTTCAATCTCTGTCTTGTCAACAAACTTCAGGAAACATTTTGTTTACAGTCACATAATCTGAGGAGTGTGGCTTTTTATAATGGCACTGAACTGGTTACTCATCATCAGTAACAGACATAGGGTTGTCGTACGCCGCTCCCTCCACGTCCTTCCCTTTCCTGCGTGTCTCTGGAGGAGGCCTTGGTGGGGGGTTCTGGGGGGGATTCTTGATACTCTCTGCCACCGGCTTCCGGGTATCCTTCCTAGGAAGAATGGGCTCCCAGTGTTCGCCTCGAATGGCAGCCTGGAAAAACAAAACAATGTTGGCAGCAGGTGGTTGTGAAGCACAACCCTCAAGCATGACACGTGTAATTACAGGTAACTACTTTGGATGCTCCAATTTGTATGCAAATATACTATTAAAGAAAAAATGTGTAAACTATGCTTCACCTGTGTTTGTACGAAAGACTGCTGCTGAGGAATTTCGTCACACCCCTAACTGGTCAGGTTTTTATAAAGGGCCATGTCTCAACAGAAGTGTGCAACAATCGCTTCCTTGTTAACAACTCTTTGTTTCCGTGAGGCTTCCAGTCATTAATGGGCTAGGCGGCAGCATAATGCTGAAAAGCTGCCAACTTACTGCGAGGTAGATGAGGCTGGCAATGCCGAGGCAGACACATCCGAGCACAGTGGCGAGCATGAACCCTCCGGGTACACAGACACTAAGAGGAACAACAGGGTGATGGTGAGACAACAAGGACCTGGATGTCGCAAGGCTTTTCCAGTGAAGAATGCTAACTAACAACAGATAAGATGGTTGAGATAACAAGAAAAATGCATTCACTTMAACCATATTCTGGAAGCATGTTTAGGTCAAGTTTAAATTGGCCAAATAAACTTACCCAGCGTGCAAAAATGCCCGGACATAGTAGTTCCTCGTCAGGGGTCCAAAGGCTTTTACGCACACGGTGAAGCAGTGCTGGCCTCTGCAAGAAAATACGAGTTGGATCAAAAGATGATCTTCATGACACTGAACCAAATCATATTTGTGGAAATATGAAAGCAGTGCTTACGATCTTTCCATACTTGTCCCCTTGGCCCTCTTGCTTCTGGGATACTCAAGCAGACACACAAACACACCGGCGGCACTTTTTACTGGTCAAGGCTGATACTTTGGTTCTGTTATCATAGAAACACATCATACAGCTCTAACCGATTATGTCAAAGTGGGTCCTTTAAGACCATGACCAGAGTACATCTGCCTTGAGCTGCATTTCTAATCAAAACTAAAAAAATACACAGTAGAAATTATTTACAGCAGTCTTGGTTTCCAGGTGTAAAGTGTTTCTATATAAAGTTAGAACAACTGAAAAAAGCAATGCCCTCACTGTCCAAAAATCCACCTTCTGAACAAAATACATTAAAGCAATGGTGATTAGTTATGCACATTTGGTATTAGGAAACAACCCAGGAAGATTCAGTTGTGAAAATGATAAAAAAAAAAGACAAATAAAAACAAATAAAATGTATTTATTTTTGTAATTTTATTTGATATCTGAACAAACTGATTGCGCTCATTCCATTGTGCAATTTACGTACATTAATTATCTCCAAAAAGCCTTTTTTGTTCCTAAAATCACGGGTTTAATAGTGAAACTCTTTAAACTTTATAGTCAATATTTACTCAATAAAATCACATTTCTACATTTAGGCGCGTGATTCATAAACTGTGACATCAACTTCCTCTAAGCAGCTTTTTATAGGTCAAACAAAAGCAAGAATAACTTTATTATCATTATATTTTTTTTATTTTAAAGACCATTTCGATATATACTTAAATAATGTGATGGTTTGTTTGAAAAGGATACACAGCATAGGCAGCAAACTCCCAGCCTCTGAACTGGCCAGCCACCCCCACTATTCCTCCAGTAAGAAGAACTGAAAGAAGAAAACAGGAAGGCAAGAGCCCACAATGTACCTTTTGTCACTCCACACAAGCTCAGGTGCAATTAAACAATGATTTATAACAGACCGTCTTAGAAAAACTAACAGGAATTCAAGAATATTTTTAATAATCAAAGATAAAGTAGCCTAAACTCTTTATCTAACTTAACTCATTAAATTCTAATAAACAGTAGATAACTGTGGGTGTTTAAATAAAGTTATAATACTCACTGAGACCTGAAGCCAGAGCCTGCTCATTGGCCCACATCGCCCACTCGATCTTCCCCATCTTGTTCACCTGAGAAGATARAAGCTGCAGGAAGTCTACCTGCGGCGACCAGAGACCTGAATAATCWGGCACAAGGAAGAAAAAGTGTTTACGTGATGTAAGAACAGATGTTCACAGGAGGGCAGGGCCTTTCTCTTCGTTAACCAGTCCTTCTTTGGACTCGTCATTTCCCTCAATAGTACGGGACTGAGAAGAAGAGGAGGAGTTTATTGGTTCAACTTCCCGAACAGGTGCAGAGAAGAGCGGAAAAAAAAAACCGAGCGCACCTGAATGCAACACAAGGAAACCTCGAAGGACCGTAAATACTGTCTTTGGCTTTACTGTATTTCACAACATACATTCCTTTTACTATATCTTTGTAAATTAATATTTAAAATGTTTTTATTTCATAAAAAATAGCTGAAGTAATGACAAAAGTAGAAAAAAAGACCAAACATAAAACAGTTTAATGACTAAAATATAATTTATTCGTGTTTGATTAGTAAAACTAATAAAATTCAAACATTTTAACGTTTATCAATTAAAAAAACTACAAGTGAAAATGGTTGTATTCTCTCATTTACACATATACATTTATAATTAAAATATTGGAAAACAAAAATATGGCTGGCTTGGGAGTCAAAGCGTGTTTTTTTTATTGTAAAAGAGCCCATCTTCCAAACATAGAGCGCTACACAAGAGCAAAGAAAACTGACTGCAATTAACAAGACACAGTTGTAAAATTTGGTAATTGGTGCTTGAATTGACACAACTAAAGCAAATGTTTCAATTTGATAAAATTGACTTTGTTGGTACACAGTGAGGTTCAGCTGTTTCTTCAGGTATTGCTTCACAGAGTTTTCTTGGGGAAACCATCAGATGAGAGTAGGTGCTGAGAGGGATCACTGATAACCCGGGGGCCTGGTCCAGCCTAAAAGATATCAGAAAAAAAAGACGTCGTTGAAGAAAAGACCCATTTTCTATTTGTGTTTATTGATTCTTGACATACCTTGGTACTAATAATATAGTTTATTCCTTTTGGCATGGGCTCAAGACCAACAGCCTGTTTCAGCTCCTCTGAGAGAACAGCGTCAGTCACTGGCAGACCTTTAATAAAGCTGAGGAAAAGGAGCAAACAGTGACAAAAATTAAAAAGGTGTGGAGATAAAAAATATTAGATTAAATGTGGAATGAGTCTAGTGCCATCGTACTCTTCTCCGTTTGCGTCTGGAGGGAAGAAATGCTGAACGACCTGGACAAACTCTGGAACGTGTTGCTGTGAAGTGAAGATCACAGCATTGGGTCCTGCATCAAAGCTGTAGGCCACCTACAGAGAGCGCAAACAGAATGTGACTGTCATCTCACAACTTTCGTGTTCCCTTTAAAAAAAACTTTTTGAAAAATTCAGCTGAAAAAATAAAAGGCAACTTTTCGCCAGGTGAAACAGGAGATGTGGTAAATAATGATTAGAGGCATTTTTAAAGGATTTTTTTTAAATAATGACCTATGTGACTGACATTATGAAGAATAATGCTTATGTAACATTTTATAGCATCAGCTGAGCCATAGTAGATTCATTTTGATTCAATTTATAATCCACACAAATTTTATAGGTTTTATTCATCAATAATAATAATCATTTAAATTGCTAATGTCGCTGCCAGAAAGGTAACAGCATTACGTGTATAAATGCAACAAGTATTTATAGAAAGACAAATAAGCAGCAGTCACACAATGACTCCCTCACCCTGGTCTCGCCGTAATGCCGGTTGTAACGATGCACCAAGTGGATGACCTGCTGAGAAACGCTGCTGAGGTAGAAGATAGGAGGGTATGTGTCGAGGCAGGAGGCATGAAACTGGTTGCTGTCCTTCATGGTTAGTTCAGCAAACGCAGGGAAGTCTTTTCTCCGTATCGCTTCGGTCATCTCGTCCATCCGGCGCGGGACGACAGACTCCGCTCGGTGCTGCACGCACAAACGAGCACACGTTCAACGTTTTCTTTTGACTAGATGATAAAGTTGTCACCAGACAGATTATGTTAAGATGCTGAAATTCAAATAAGAGAATAATTAGAGCACCTTTAGCAGAAGACTTGTTTGTACACTGGTTTGCATTCCAGATGTGCTGCCTATTGGCTTCCGCTTGGCACTGGCCTTTGAAAAAAACAAAAAAAAAACTGCATCAAATTTAAACATTAAAATGTAAAGCTTTTCTAAATCAACCTTTTTTTTATTTCTGCACTTGTAAAACATCTTTTCTCTGTACTAATTTTTCATTCTGATGTTTAGTTTCACTAAAAGTCTGACCTACCACAAGCACAAGGATCCTGAGCTCAGGCCAGTGACTCTCGGGCTCCACCTGCTGGGCAACACTGTCCTTCCCATCTTCTCTGCTTCCCATTTTCCACTCTACAAACCCACCGTACATGCTTCTGCAGGCGCTGCCCGAGCCTTGACGAGCAATCCCAGACAAATCTCCTTCCACACCGAACGCCTGAGCCAAACTATAAACTGAACACAGGGGAGTAAGAGCATTAGAGACTAGTCAGCATGTATGTGATATGAGATGAATGTCACATAAAATAGCATTTTTTTGTTGTCAACATGCTGCACATAAGCAATTTAATATAATCCTTAATTGTCCTATTTTTGTCACACCCACTCACCGAGACAAGCAAATCCAGCTGCTGAAGAGGCCAGTCCTGCAGCAGTGGGGAAGTTGTTAACAGAGCAGATATGGACTTTATGAGACAATCCTGCGGAATCAGGGTTTCCATCGTTACGCCTCTTCCGTGCTAATCGTCTGACTGAATACAGGGGGGGGGGAAAAAAGTTGTGACCTCCACAAAACATTTAATGTTTTTAAGAAATGAAAAAGTAAACAAATATAACTCACTCTCTCTCAGACAGGACTGTAGTCTTGGATGTGTTATGTCCTCCTCTTTCCCATTCAGCCACAATCTGTCCTCTTTAAATAATCTGCTGACTGCAACAGTTGTGGTGGTTTTCAGCTAAACAGATAAAGTAAAAATAATGCAGGGTAATGTCAAACTGTTTCTATCATAAATATAGTGTCCCGTTTGATGTCACGAGTAAAAAGTGTTAATAGAAATCACATAATGCTATTTTAATTACTCAACGCCCAAGCATTAAGTCAAATTTTTTTGTTGTTTAATTATTAATGTATCATGTCTCAGTTACATTTCTTGCACGTTGTTTTAGAACAAACCACATCAGGTTGACAGCCTTTACAGTTCACAAAACTAATGGAAAACTTGTTTATTTTAAAACCTGGTCTTGATGCAGGGTGACGCTCAAAGATGAGTTGATGGGCAGAATTAAATCTTCATCCCTTTTCCCCCCTGGAAAATAATCAGTGTTAAACACAGATCACAACTGAGCTGTTAATGAGATGTTACAATACAACTGTCTACCAGACCTGAAACTAATTCATCAATTTATTGGACATAAAATAGCGAGACTTTTAGTCAAATAAACACTTCAGGAACAGATAAGGCTCAACAAACACAAGGGGTACTTACAGTATTTAATGACAGCGATATTCACAGGAGCGGAACATGAGACTAAATAGGGATTGTCGTTATCTTCAGGCATAGCTTTATGTCTGTAAACTGATATTTGTGCTGAAAATATAACCCCAAAACTTTAAACTCCTCTRTCTGAAATGTATTTCGTGAGTGTAGCAGTTTCTACGTGCATGGCTAAGTCAACCTCAATGTAGCGATTTGTAAACTTCTCACCCGATTGGCTGTCGATGAACACGTGAYTATTCTCCCAACTAATCATAAGCGAGCTTGTGTGACGTATATGTATGGTTAGCCAATGAGCATCAATCTGACCACAGTCATGCCAAAATGGGGTAAGGACAAAAACCAACCCACTTTTCAAAGTTAGAAGAAAAAAAATTAACCAAGAAAGGMARWSWTKCMAGKTRWAYRMWARWWACAGGCTTCACCTAGGTACAAT